CTGCCAGGACCCCGCGGGCGGCGGGCAGAGCGCGGCGGCGGCGGCGGGAACGGGTCAGTGCCGGGGGAGCCACGCTCCCTGCTACCCCCTCTACTCCGCGTGGGCGCGTCCGCCGCACTCGGCCGCGAACGGGCGGGCGGAACCATCCGCGGCAGGAAAAGGGGAGCTCGCGGAGGTCGCGACTCCCCCGGTAGGGAATGGGCCAGCCCGTGTGCTCGTTGTGAGCTGGTGGGAAGGGGCGGTACCATCCGCGCGAGACGGGGGTGTTGTGGGACGGGAGGGCACATCTCTGTGCCATCAGAATCCTTCCATCGAGCATATGTATTCCAGAGACATATATAACCGTATCTATTTTTATAGAATTTATCCCTCTTTCCCTTAGGTTCTGTCTTGTTGTGTTCCTCGTGTCCTTGTCCCAGAGACCGGGGCTGGGGGGTCCCTTTGTCCTGACAAGGTGAGTTTTCTTTGGGAATGTGATTATGAAAACGGTGATTCTGGAGGCCTTTTAGGACTTCTTCGGCACTTCATGAGCTTTTTCCTTAAAATTAGGCTGTGCTGGAAACTGGCTCTTCAGATAACTTCCATATTTCCCAGATAAATATACTGTGAACAGGAGAAGCAATGGAAATGTAGGGCAAAAATAAAATAACAGTAACAGTAGTAGTAATAATAATAATAATAATAGTAGTAGTAAGTTCTGTTGAAATTGATGAAGCTCGTGTAGGAGTTCTCAGCTGTGTGTTCTCAACATGTAATTTTTGATTTCATATCAACAGACATACAGTAAAAGAAGCACTTTTATTTTGAGAGCCAGCATGAATAATGGTAGTGGAATATCAAAATTTCGTGGTGTGTGTGTTTGTGTGTGTGTGGTGAGCCTGAGACAGCAGGTTCACATGACCATTTATAAAACTGTCTGCAAACATAAAACTGACAGAAATTTATTAGGGAAGGTTCCAGTCATGTTGTTGACTACTCCTCTTGACTTGTGCTTTTTTAAAGTATAAACATGCTACATGTTGTCTTTAACCAAACCAGCTGAACAGAAAATTGTGGTCACTTGTAGGGTTGGCAGATCCCAGAACGGTTTGGGTTGAAAGGGACCTTAAAGCCCCTCCAGTGCCACCCCTGCCATGTCAGGGCCACCTTCCAGTGTCCCAGGCTGCTGCAAGCCCTGTCCAGCCTGGCCTTGGACACGGGCAGCCCCAGCTGCTCTGGGCACCCTGTGCCAGGGCCTGCCCACCCTCCCAGCCAGCAATTCCTTGCCAGTATCCCAGCTGGGCCTGCCCTCTGGCACTGGCAAGCCATTGCCTGGGTGCTGGCCCTTCATTGCTTGGTAATGGTCTCTCTCTGCCTTTCCTGTCAGCTCCCTCACACACCAGAAAGCCAAAATCAGTTCACCCCAAAGCTTCTCTTCTATAATCCCAACTCTCTCAGCCTTTTCAGATGGTCGTTGTCTATTGATAGGAGAAAATCTTGCAGTATTGGTGCTGTATTGGACATTTTCTGAGAAACAGCTCCTCAGACTTGTTAATGGAGCAAAATTCAGTGCTTGCAGCACACGTGAGGGGAAGTGTTTGTTTTTGGAAACAGGTGTTTGTTTTTCTTTAGCCAGGTGACTCAAACATCAGGTCTCTGTTCCTTCCCTGGTACCTTTACCCTTCAAATGCTGGGTTTTATTTTGGGCTGAGTCTGTGGAACCAGAAAAACAGGGCCTGGCTGTCCCTTTTGCAGGACTCTTCAAGGTGCTAGATATGTGTGAGTCCTTAGAGCTTCCAGGCTAAAAATCTGCAAAGTCCTGACTGTTAGCACCGAGCAGCCTCAGAGTGGATGTGGTGTGGGCTGCATCACCATAGGTGTCTCTTGCAAAAATAAGAACAACAAAATCCACTTTGGCAGAGCATTTTGAGCTTTACAGCCAGAGCACTGTGTCTTTATTTTCACTGTTGGTGTAGCTGGGACTTGCTGAAATATTCTTGCTGAACTGACCAATATTGCCTTGAGCCAGCAATCCCAGACCTTCTCCCCAGCACCCCTGAGTCATTCAGAGAACTTCATTTTATTTTGTTTTGATGCACGTCAAGAACGAACAGCACCTGATTCCCACAGGGTCTTTTGGCTAAAAACACCACCCCATCAATTATATGGGTTTTTAAAAAAATTCTTCCTTTTATCCCCCAACCCAGAAGGGCTTATTTCATATGGTGAGTGATGTTGGCAGCAGTGAGGTGCTTGTGGAGCCCCTGGCTGCTGTCCCTGCTGTGTGCTCAGTGCTCTGGGGCTCCCTTTGCCTGTCCCAGGGCGCGATGTCGGCGCGGCGCGCGCTGAAGGCCGTGCTGGTGGATCTCAATGGAACCCTCCACGTCGAGGACTCGGCCGTGCCAGGAGCCCAGGAGGCCCTCAAAAGGCAAGTTTCCCCTCTTTTGTTTAGGTTTTCTCTGGGAGGTTGTGTTTTTGCTGATTGCTCAGAGGGGTGGGTGAGTGGGGCAAGCACGTGGACAAATCCTTCACCCTGTGTTAATGCCAGGAGAGCTCAGCAAAGGGTGGGGATAGTGGTATCACCCTGCTGCTTTCCTCAGTGGCTCCTTCTGTGTTTTCTAAGCCTTTTATAGACGTAAACCCCCCCAATATTCAAGGTCTCTCCACTGATTCACATGTGAGACAGCCGTAGCCAAAGTGGCATTCAGGTGAATTACCCCAAAATCAGTTCAGCTGAACTGTTCCTGATCGTCTGTCAGATCTTTTAGATCTGTGCTGAGATAAAGTGGGATAGCAAAGCTTGGTCTAGCGAGCAAGGCAACCTCTGCAGAGTTCTCATTTCATTCAGACAAGGCTTTTCTCAGTTATTACTGTTTTTATAGTCTCCTGCTAGGTAGACAACCTCTTTTTTATTTTCTTTTGTAGGAATTTCAACACATTAATAACCAGGACAGTTAACTCTTGTGGTGAAAGGGTGCCTAAAGACACTGAGGCACAGCAAAATTATTTATTCCAACCAAGTCAGTGATGAAATAGGACACATGATCCCAGGAATGTGTGGTGTGGAGAAGATGTCTTGCAATGGACGAGATAAAAATCCCAAAATGAGAGTTGATATTGTGGTGAATGAAGGAGGACACTTTAAGGTTCTGGGTCACTAAAGATTAATCAGGATTTAGGAGCAGAACTGAACTCTGTACTGGAGCTGAATGGGCTGCTAAGGGTTTTACACAGCTGGACTGTCGCTCAGAGGAGAAGTTCACAGAGGGATTAGGAAGCTGCATTTCCCACAGGTAATGCTGTGGAAATTATGATGTCCTTAAGACATAAAACTGCAAGGAAGTAAAAAACTGGTGAAACACTGGCTACTCATTCATTGCCCTTTCAGTCACTGCACCATGTTTCCTGCTGCAGGGAGAACTAGTGCCAGGTGAGAGTCAGTGTTCTTGAAAATCCATATAATGTATGTGTGCTGTCACAGCTATGGAGAGCAGCTGTCAGAGAATACCCAGGTCTTTTGGCTCAGAGTTTTGGAAAAAATTATCATCCCACTCTCTTTTCTGCCAGTCCATGTCCCTGTCCTTCCAAAAGAGAAGCTGGAAGGAATGACATGCAGCTTGCTTAGGGAATAAATGAAGGGATACATATTTTAGGGTTACTATGCTCATTGGGGTCCAGAGGGAAAAATAATTTTAATTTTTGTTTTATTATCAACCAGGGGACATTTTAACCAGCTCATACCTGTGAAGGGCTGGTATAAAATGAGATAAACAGGAGAAGGAAGTGGCAGGTGCAAGTCTCCAACTTCATTCTGATGTTCTCCACACAGTCCTGATGCCTGTGTTTGTTCCTATAGCAACAGAGAAAGTGATAGTGGGGGAATAATTAAAGGGAATGCTGCTGAAACTGTCACTTAAAATTATTTGATTGTTTGGTAGCATTTACTGTCAGCACAGGGCAATAATGTGGTTTTATGTGATACTGGTTTTCCTCAGGAAAGGGGGAAATGGCTGCAGAAGCTGACATAAAACCACCACCAAGGTAACACAGGCTCCTGGAGCATCCTGAACGAGCCACAGCTGCTGGGAAATTCACCCAGCAGTGGAGTTCAATACATTAATTCAGCAACAAGATTCTTTTGTTTGCTTATTTTGATCAAGAAGAGGGACTGGGTTATTTATTGTGCAGAAGGAATAAAAAGGCTTTTCAAATTAGTTATCATAGATGTGCTGGCTGCTGCTGTGAAGAGGGAATTGGAATCACTGTTTTCCTCAGGAATTTTTTTTGTGGTAGATGAGGGAGAGGAGGGGAGGATGACTTGTCTTGGTCTGGGAGGCATAATTCTTGCTGTCTCTTCCACATCACAGCGGTGTTTTGTGTGGCACCAGTCTTCTGTGTGGTCTTTTGGTCTGCAGCCTTTAGGGCTGTTTTTAGCCTCAAAGAGGAGCACTGGTGTGAGAACAGGAGGAGCCTGTGTCCAGTTTTCCCCCTCTGTGCCCCGCAGGCTGCGCAGTGCCCCGGTGACCGTCCGGTTTGTGACAAACACCACCAAGGAGAGCAAGAGGGACCTGCTGGAGAGGCTGACGGGGCTGGGCTTCGACATCGCGGAACACGAGATCTTCACCTCCCTGACAGCAGCCAGGAACCTCCTGGAGCAGCAGCAGGTGCGGCCCCTGCTCCTGGTGGATGATAAGGCCCTGCCTGATTTCACAGGTGAGGTGCTCAGGAAGCAGCTAAGGAGTGAGAAACAGTTAATGCTGCTCATTAACAGCGAAGGAAACATTGTGCTCTTGGTCATCTATAGACCACCAGCCATGGTGGAGCCTGAAAGGTGGAATTTTTCAGGGTCATAAATGTCCTGTCTTCATTTTAAATCAAACATTGAACAGCCTAAATTATATTTTCTTGAGGAGCAGTGGAAATGGCAGCCAAGGCCTTCAAATAGTCAGGCATTCACGTAAAACTCAAAGCTTTCCATTCATTTCCAGTGCAAAATATAAAGTCATAGTTATCACTAGGTAATGATTTATTGGCTTTATTGGACCTACCAGTGCTGATTTTTTTCATAGCAAATATATGTCAATCTGTGCAGTACCTGCCTTCCAACAGAGGTTTTACTCATAAAGAGCTGAAAAACCAGTGTGTAGGCACACACAGCAGGCTGTTTCTCTGTTAAGTTATTATTGAATGCAAAATCTCCAGGCAATTATTGCTTATCTTATACTGAACATTTAGGTTTCACCCCTTGGTACTTGGATACATTCACTGGTGGCACAAGGTTCATTGCCCTGACTCCTCTAAATTCTTCTTCCTAAAGACTTGGTTAAAACCTGCTTTGCTTTCAGATGCTCCCATTTCCCTCCCTCAGCTGGAAGGGGAGCAGAAAGTGACGTGTTCTTACTTGGGCATCAAGAGTAGCAAAGATACCCATGTTTTTAACATACTTAGACTTGAAAACTGTGTACATTACATGAAAATTTCTTTATTTAAAGTCAAGACAGCAAAATGGTCAGAAATCTTCAGAGATGTCAATGTTCAGGAGTGAAGCCTCTGTGAAAGAGCAGTGAAACCTGGTGATCTGTTCTACCTAACATCATATCCAGAGAAATGTGCCCCCAGCAATATTCTGTATTTGTGCTCCCAGGAAGGCGCTCCTGTGTGAGAAACAGCAGCAGCAGCAGCTCCTCTTTCACTGACAGCATTTAAATCAGCTCGGTCTCCATGGTTTTGGGATCTTTCCATTAGTTTTTCAGCAGCCAATGCTAATTTTGTACAAGATGGCACAAACAGGGGTATCTTGGGGGCACATCTGTATCGCTTGGGTCTGGAGTGGGTTGTTTTGTTTGTTTTTGCTGCAAGGGTTTTGGCTCGCATTTCTTCCTTGCTGCTCTTAGAACATTTCAGTACAGTGGAGAGTGCTTCAGATTCCTCTTAATGGCTCCTATTGAGCTGTTCTTGGCTAATCTTCTGTTAGAGTTGGTCACAGGCAGATGAAGGAGCCCTTTCCTGTTTTAAGGACACAGAAGCTTCCACAAATCCTCCATGGCACCTCTGAATGGATGTTCTGCTGGCTGGGCTACCTGAGGGACGTGCAGCAGGAGACCTCAGCCAGCAGAGCCAGCCAGGAGCTCTGGCTGTCCTGGGAAAGGTGCAGAGGGTTTGAAGGTGGAACAAAATCCTCAGTGAGTGCAGGATGCAGCTGATAACATGCTGTTAGTAGAACCCTCCTGCTGGTTCTGCTTCCACTGCTGGTTCTGTCCAGGGGTGGGACTGCAGTTCTCAAGGGCCCTAATCCACTTTGAAAAAAGACCTTCCAGAAAAGCCCAGATTAATCTAGAGTAACAACTGCTGGGCCATGCTGCAGTGCCATATTTATTGTCAGAATCAGATGCTAGGAACAACAGTCAGTGTGACTCCTGTGACTAGAGGGAAAAAAGCTGGATGGGATTCACTTGAATTCCTGCCTTACTGTCTTACAAAGCACCTAAATATATGTAGAGAGGGATTCTCAGATGGCAAGCAGTCATTCAGCTAAAAGAGGGATTTTTGTGTCCTGCTGCATTTCAGTGGGAGCAGTGACAGAATCATCCCACAGCTGCTGTTAAGACTGTCCAGCTCCTGGAGGATGGAATAGACCAGCACCTTTTCCACAGATGCTTTCTTCATCTATAAAAGACATAAAAGCAGAGTCTGTGATATGACTGTGTCGGAAAACGCTTGTTTTTGCCTTAAAGTGATTAAACACACTTTGCTGACTGTGGGCTGCTAAGTGTGAATTAAATCCTGCCTGCTCAGAGTCTTGTTCTGATTTCCCAGGGATTGGCACGGATAACCCCAATGCAGTGGTGGTGGGACTGGCTCCTGAGCACTTCCACTATGAGATGATGAACAGAGCCTTTCGGTAAGGCAGCCCCTGGCAGGGGGTGGAGTGGGGGCTGTCTTGTGCTGGGCTCTCTTCTCTTTCTGGGAGGAAAAGGGTGGTAGGAATGTCACACATTATTGTGCCACAATATATGTACCACATTATTAGTGGCAGCATGTGAGGGAGCCACTAGTCTCGGTGGATTTGGGTTCTTCACCAGGATCTTCAGGCAGTCCAGACCTTATTTTTACAGCTTTCAGTCTAAATAAACTGCAGAAGTGCTGTCTTCTGAGGGGAAAAGTTAGTAATTCATCAGGGGGAAGTACAAAAAAACAGGGATGTGGGGAAGCATTCACAGAATTATTTTGGTTGGAAAATACCCCCAAGCACTTCAAGTACAACCTGTGACCAAGCCCCACCTTGTCACCAGCACAGAGCTCTGAGTGCCACCTCCAGGGATGGGAGCTCCAACACCTCCCTGGGCAGCTCATTCCAACACCAGACCACCCTTTCCATGGGGAAATTCCTCATGTCCAGCCTGTACCTGCCCTGGCCCAGCTGAGGCCATTTCCTCTTCTCCAAGAGGAGAGGCAGATTCTGTGTTAAAAGCCCAGCCTTCAGAACCTGTGTGCTACAGGGAATGAAATCCAGTATTTAGGGCAGGTTATTCCTTACCTGGCTAATGCAGGATATCCAGCAATATCTTCTGAAGTATCTTCTATTCAGGAGTGGCCAGCACAACTTGTTGGGCCAGGTGGACTATGGAGCTGATCTTGAGTGTTTTATTTTTGCCTCTAGGCTGAGGAGTAAGTCAGATAGACTCCATCTGTGACCACCCCTGAGCCAGGCTGCAACAGTGTGTGCAGAGCCACGTGTCCTTCTCCTTCTGGCTTGACTCCACACTCTTGATTTTAGCTTGAAAAATCTTCAGCTTTCAGACACTGGATGTGAGCCTGTAGCTGAGTGATGTGTGTGATGAGCCCTTTCCCATCTTTGCTCACAAGATGGTGGCTACCACACAGCTTTGCACCTTGAAATCCAGTGAAAACCCAGATATCAAACACCTTAACCTGTCTTCATAACCATAAAATTTGAAGAGGGAGTATCGAGTACTGCCCACAAGTGTCTTAGGGAGGTTTCTTGGAGTAGGAGGCCGATGCTGTCCTCATCTGCTGCCAATTCTGTGTTACATCAACAGATGTTGACCCAAACTGACCCTGCCTGCCTTGTTAGTGAACTTTGCTGAAGGCATTGATTTGGGTTTTTACTTTGGGTCATGTGTGGACTCAATTTCACAACTGCATGAGCTTAACCTATTGAGTTATCCCAGTGCTTACATCATTAAACTGATTCATATTTCTGTCCTGAATATATTAGTTGTTGAATAATACCCATTTTTTGCTTCGGGCTGAATATCAGGACACGTAAAAAAGCCCAGGATGGGCTTTGTCTGACCTGTAACACCTCACTGATTTCTTCTGGGTGTTTCCCCCAGTCTTCTGTAGAGGATAAACTTTTGCTGGTCTCAGTTCTGTTAGGCCTGATGGAAGCACTGACCACTGGCACTTTCTCTTCTTGTTGAGCCTTGCCCTATTCCTTCTCCTTTACTCAGATAATTAAGTCACTTGGGATTTGCATTGAAATTGGAATTGCATTGGGATTGCAGAACTCTGAGGTGAATCTGATTAAATGCAGGTATCTAAGCGCAGGTTCCTGTGCTGTGCTGTGTCTGTGCTGGTGATCTGGGCTCTGGAGGGATAAGGGAGGCACTTCAGGGCATTTTTTTACCTAATAGTGCTTAAAATAGGACAGTTGAACTGTGCCCTAGGAGAGCCTTTTCCTCTGCACTGACTGTGAGGAGCCCAGGCTGACTAATTACGTGGCAGGCAACTATTCCATTGACACCCAACATTAACTTAGGTAAATCTAACCCAACATGAGTCCCAAAACGAGATTCACAGAGTCTGGCCGTTCTCCAGGCACCACTTGAAATGACTGAGACTAAATTTCTCTTCCTGTGTAAGTGGGATTTTGATGCCATGTTTAAGAGAATCCTCTCAGGTGAGATCTCTTGCAAACTGCTGAACGTAGTGGTTGTAGTGATGCTGTCAAATTAAATTTTCCTGTGTCCTAGAGGCATCTTCCCATCATGAACATGTCTGGCTGCTCACAGAAGCACAACCCAGCTCTCTTCTTGTTCAGCTTGCTTTAGAATGCATCGATTCAATAGGAGTGTTTTGTGATAATTAAGTGAAATGAAATATCATTTATGTCCTGCTCAGAGCTTCCAGGCTGCTCTGCAGACATCCTCCAAGGAGAATCCAGTTCACCTCAGCCAGCCTCTTACAACAGGGGCAAAGGAAGACTTTGTTTTCTTAAAGGCTTTTGTTTTGTTTAATTTTGTAAATCAGAGGTTAAGGGGAAAATGAATCCTCCTTTCTGCCCTGAGAATAACAGCCAGTGTTTCACACTGTTGTGATAAAGATTGGAACGACCTGCATTGCCTGGAGAAAATGTAAAATCAAAGGGGAAAGGTTTGGCAGTCCAGATGCTGTCTGGGGAGCTCTTGTTGCACTGAGACTTGGGAGGAGGGGAGAACTGCAGTAATAGTGCTGTGCTTGGTGGACCAGGAGAATTCCTCTAGTGCAGCACCCACACAGCTACCCTTTGCTGCAGGACAGGGGGGTTTGCAGTGTCTGCTGCAAGGAAAATCTGCAGGGCAGATAACAGAAATGTGAGAACCAAAGATGAGGTGCAGGTTCTGTGGAAGCAAACGTGCTCAAACTCCCAGGGTTAACGGGGAAATTCCGAGGGACGTGAATGTGTCAAATGGCTTTGAGGTTTTTTAATGTAACTTGTTACTGTAATTCCTTCAAAGCTAAAATATAAAGTTAAGGTCAAATGTTTCATCCTGTACCTGTAAGAAATTGTTCCCTGTGAGGGTAGTGAGCCCTGGCACAGGGTGCCCAGAGCAGCTGTGGCTGCCCCTGGATCACTGGAAGTGTCCAAGGCCAGGCTGGACAGGGCTTGGAGCAGCCTGGGATGGCAGGCAGGGGGTGGAACTGGATGGGCTTTAAGGTCCCTTCCAAGCCAGATCATCCTGGGATTGCGTGAAAGCCACTTGAGGCCTTCTGTTGTAAATATAATTCCTTTAATATAATTTTTGTACTCTCTTCTTCATTCATTCATTCTTTAGGTTGATTTTGGATGGCGCGCCTCTCATAGCGATCCATAAAGCCAGGTATTTCAAGAAGAAGGATGGCCTGTGTCTGGGACCTGGACCTTTTGTGACAGGGCTGGAGTATGCCACGGACACCAAAGCCACCGTGGTGGGGAAGCCAGAGAAGACTTTCTTCCTGGAGGCTCTGCGGGGCACTGGCTGTGCCCCCGAGGAGGCCGTCATGATTGGAGATGTACGTGGGCACCAACCCTCCTCACCTGCCCAGCAGTGCAGTGCTGCCCTCCGTGGTGGGCAGGGCCTGCAAAGGGGGGTTCCAAAGGATGGAACTGTCATTTCTAGAGAGAAAACTGAGCTGGGGAAGGGGCTGGAGCCCCAGGAGCGGCTGAGGGAGCTGGGAAAGGGGCTCAGCCTGGAGAAAAGGAGGCTCAGGGGGCCCCTGTGGCTCTGCACAAGTCCCTGCCAGGAGGGGACAGCCGGGGGGGTCGGGCTGTGCTGCCAGGGAACAGGGACAGGAGGAGAGGGAACGGCCTCAGGCTGGGCCAGGGGAGGTTTAGAGGTTTAGATGGGATATCAGAGAAAAATTCTTCATGGAATAGGAGTTTTAGCACTGACACAGGCTGCCCAGGGCATTGGTGGAGTCCCCGTCGCTGGAGGGCTTTAGAGCTGTGTGGATGTGGCAGTTGGAGACATGGGCAGTGCTCAGGAATGGTTGGACTCGATCTTAGAGGGACTATCCAACCTAACCAATTCCATGAAAGTTCACAGGATTTAGTGTGTAATCCATGGGGGTTTCTCTCTGACTTCAGTCACTACTTGATCAGGCAGAGAGCACATAGAAAACCACTCCTGTGACAGTGTGACTGATAGGGTAGCTGAAAGATGTGACTCTGTGTCGCTGCTTTTAAGTGATGTGCCAAGCAGGAAAGGTTATGGAAGTGTCTGTGCCCACTAACCCAGTGCTCTCCTGCTGTGTCCCAGGACTGCAGGGATGATGTTGGTGGTGCCCAGCAGGCAGGCATGCGTGGGATTTTGGTAAGGACAGGTAAGTACTCAATGGATCGGTTGTTTCAGGAGACAGTGGTGCCTTCAGGGATCTCACCCTGTGCCCAGAAATGAAGGTGTTCTGGGGCCTGGGGCCAGCCCTGCTGTGTGACAGGGGTCACACATCATGCTGGGGTGGTGCAGAGGCAGCCTGTCAGCCAGGGCTAGAGCACAGCACAGACCCCAGCTGATGGCAGGGTGACCAAAGTCATAGATGGGGACAGCTGCTCTTGTAGGTGTGAATTTTTGCTGACTCAAAAATCCAGAGGGGTAATCAAAGAACAGAGGGAACTGTTACTGTCACACTGTAGTGATAGAGCAGGGAGTACTGGGTTCGGAATGAAAGACATGAAATTTAGGTTAGAGATTTTAGGAAGAAATTCTTCTCTGTGAGGGTGGGCAGGCCCTGGCACAGGGTGCCCAGAGCAGCTGGGGCTGCCCCTGCATCCCTGCAGTGTTCAAGGCCAGGCTGGACAGGGCTTGCAGCAGCCTGGGACACTGGAAGGTGTCCCTGCCATGGCAGGAGGTGGGACTGGATGAGGTTTAAGGTCTCTTGCAACCCAAACCATTTTGGGATTCTATTATTATTATTATTAAGAACCTACAATGTGGACATTTGCCAGCACAGCAGAATGAACCAGTGCAATTAACACTAGTTTTGATCCAGAGCTGCCCCTGAAGGAGTCTCTAGTAGGACTCAGCATTTGTTTAGGGAAGCTCTGTGGGATGTTTTTTGCCCAGATGGGCATTTTCCTGGTTGGTACTGCCATGACAAGGCTGTAGTTTTCTGGGTGGGGACAAGGCTGTAGTTTTCTGGGTGGGAAAAACAGGGTACTCAGATGAGTTTGGTAAAGGGATCTTTGTGTTAATCTGTTACAGGTAAATACCGTCCAGCAGATGAAAACAAAATCAACCCAGCTCCCTACTTAACCTGTGAGAGTTTCCCAGAGGCAGTGGAACATATCCTGAAGCAGATGCTGTGAGAAAGGGAACAGCTAGCTTGAAAAAACTTCTGTTTCACACCATTTCCTTCATTCTTGCTTCAGAAATTGAGGTCCCAAGATCAGTGCATGCATGGCATCCATCAGAGGCCACCCTGGGCTGTGAGGGGCAGGGGATCCTTGTGGGCCCAGCACAGTCACACACACAGGGAGTGGTGGCAAAATTTTCTTACTTTCACTTTTTAAAGAATACCTGATGAAAAGCCACGTCTGGGAAGTGTCACCTTCTGCAGAATAAGTTAAACTGAAAACACTCAAGTAAACAAAGCTCAAACACCAACAGAGCCTCAGTGGGCCTGTAGTGATTTCACTGATGTTTCTGTTCTGCTCTGACTTAAAGGTAGAGATTATGCACGTTTAGAAGTGATTCTTAAATGAAATTATCATCATTGCTTAATAATAACTACTGTGACTGTCTTTCATTAGAACAGATCCTGTTATTTGCTTTTCAAATTTTACATAAAATTAAAAACTGTCAGCATTTTACAGATGTTTTAATTAGATGCTGTTATTAAAAAGAATGATGCAGAAACAAAACTCTGGTATTAAATGCCTTAGAGACTGTGACTTTTTAAAATTAGGCTTCAGCAGGGTCCTATTAATGCTACAGTTGCAAAATTTCACTGTTGTTGGGGATTTTTTTGTTTCTTTTTAATGTTATGGAAAAAATCCTTCACAAGCCATGGGGACAGATTCCAGTTTTTACAGTTGGTTAGCAGAGTTGTAAAATGAAATTTAATTCTGTAGCGTGCAATGCTTTTCCTATGCACTGCATCCCCCAATATGAACCAACTTCGTAATGACAGTAAATGGCTTTTCTGGTCCATTTGCAAACTGTAATAATCAAAGTCCTTTACAGTTGTTTTACAGTGCTCCTGTGTGTTAAATTATTAGATTGTAATTATGCATTACTGGAGTATTAACCTTATTGAAAATACAGTTTTGTGTTAATGAGCCATGCTCGTTCTTGTTAAACAAAACCATGGTGATGAATGAATTCCTCACGTGTCAGTGTCTCTCTGCAGCCTCCCTTGGTGGGTGGTTACTACATTCAGATTTAGTCTCTCTCAGGAACAGAATGGGTGGATGGAGGAGATGTCGCAGTAGAAACACAAGAATGAATCACAGAATCATTTAGGCTGCAAAAGCTGTCTAAAGTCATCAAATCCAACCATTCCCCAGCACTGCCCAGGCCACCACTGACCCATGTCCCCAGGTGCCACACTCATACAGCTTTTAAACCCCTCCAGGGATGGGGACTGCACCACTGTCCTGGGCAGATCTGTCCTGTTCTTCTTTTCCAGGAAGAAATAATACCAAATATCCAATCTGAACCACCCCTGGTGCAACTTGAGGGTGCTTTGTCTCATCATGTCACTTTCTGCCTGGGAGAAGAGACCTCTGAGGAACAGGAGCCATCTTTAGATAGTGTCTGTGGGCCCTTGTAGTGCCAGCTTCAGTTTTTGCATACATCTGGGTTTTGTGCCAGCAATTCTCAACCTGATGGTTTCTGCTTGGAAGGATATAAGGGAGGTCTGTGTCCTGGGGTCAGAGTCAGGTGCAGGGGTGGGAGATGTATCAGCAAAATCCTGTGAAAACATTTCCCTTGGAGACTTCTAATCATGTGTGACGGATGCAGGAATTAAAAGGGACTGTCAGTGCCTCAGAGGTCCTGGAATGTGCTGGAAACATCATGCAGGCACACCAGCCCGAGGGAAACCAGAGGGAGAACTGCATGGAGGGGAAGTGTCCTGCTGAGCGAGAAGGGAGAGTGAGAGAGGGCAGTGATAAAACCTGGAGCCTGAAAAAAGTGCCATGCTGGAATTTCTGATGAGTGCAGGACACGTGGCAGTGCTGGCCACGTGTGTGAGCAGGACAGTCCAGCATGGGGGACATTGGGCACTGCCCTGCACACCCCACTGCACACCCATGGGGCAGGGCAGGTGACACTCCTGAGCAAGGATCTCTCTTAGCAGGACAGGCTGAGGGAGCTGGGGCTGTTCAGGGTTGTGAGAGGGGCCTTCTGTTGTAAATATAATTTACATTGGGTGTCTCTGGGTGTCCCTGGGTGTCCCTGGGTGTCCCTGGGTGTCTCTGGGTGTCCCTGGGTGCAGGGAGGTCAGAGCAGAGCCCAGCAATGGCACCAGAGCGATGGGCAGGGACTGAGCCCAGGAGCTGCCCCTGCACGGGAGGAACAACTTCTGCCCTGAACAGAGACCAGAGAGGGGAGGAATCTCCCTCACCGGGGTATTCCAGACCCTTCTGGGCACAATCCTGTGCCCTGTGCTCTGGGATGACCAGGCTGGAGCAGGGAGGTGGGGTCAGATGTGAGCACCTCTGGTCCTTTCCAACCTGACCTATCCTGGGATTCTGCAATTCTGATTTATGGCTGGTTGCAAACCAGTGGGCAGCCACCAATATAATTTCTAGTTAATTATCTCAAATTTGCTGATATTCTGCAGTTTTTCTCTAATTGCTTCTCTTTTTCACCTTGGAAGTATCCCAAACCAACAGGAAAGTAACACACTTCAAGGCTTTGAAATCATCTGAATATAGTGACAAACTAGCCAAATTTACATGCCCTGCTGAGGTCCTGAATTTCACTGAAAACTCCTATTTTGTGTTTCATTAGGAGGAGTGCAGGTCTCTTCTGGGAAAGCTACACTGACTGTGATGATCTACTTAGTGTCAGAAATGGGGAATTACAGTAATTGTCTATCTGCTTTTAAACTTTCCTCCAGTTCTACCCAAAATCTGTCATGAATAAAGACTGAGACTCAATCAATCTTTTAAGTCTTTATGCATAAAATTAAGGCTGGAGGCTGTGTTGCATAGGAGCTGACATCACATTACTTCCAATAACTTTTTTGCATAAGGAATAACCACCACCCCTTCACCCACCCTTGCATTTTGAAAGTAAAGACTTCCCTCTGACACTTATCACTGCATTTTGTTCCTTGAAACAACAGCACCTCCTTCCCCATCAACATCTGATCCTTTGGAGGCCACTTTGGATAGCAAATGGCTGAGGTTTTTGATTTTGGGGTTGGTTTGTTGTTTTTTTTTCAGTCAGACTGACTCAAATTCCCTCTGCCAAGCCATGTACTTCTGGCTTAGATTCTTTGCTGATGGCTTGGTGTGGGTGATCACATCCAGGAAATCGGCTGTTGTGATTGTGTCCAGCTGGATCATGGCCAAGTTACTGTTACCTGAAGACAAGAGAATTGAATAAATCCTGTTACCATTACTGAAAGACACTCTTTTATGCCCATGCCTAGTCCAACACTTAATGCAGGAAAATAACAGACCAAATGTTAGTGAGATAAATCAAAAATTGTATTTATGCTGAGAGCGCAGATAATGACAGCTTTAAAAGAAGCCCAAATTTTTAGAAATTTAGAGGGTTTGGAACTGTGGAGTTTAAAACTTTTTCAGGCAGATATCAGAGCTCCACCTGCTGGAGTTAGAATGTTTGTTCCAAGAGTTACAGCAGGAAATCAGCATTTCCCAGGCAGGATTTTCTGCTCAGAGCTGAGGTACCTGGCTGATGATTTTCGAGAGCATCAAAAATTTTCCTCACTGGTCTCATGGCTGCCTCCTTGCACACGAGTTTTATGTCTGAGCCAGAGTATCCACTAGTTTCCTGTGATGGGATCAGAATGATACATTACAGCTCACAAATCAGACAGAAATGGAATTTACAGGCAAATATATTATGTATTTGTATAAATATTCGTTAAGTCTACTGATGTCTGAAATACACGATTATATACAGACAGATAGACACACAAATCTATTATTTTTTTGGTACCATCCCCTCAAAATTATGTAGCTTTTTATTTTTTGAATGCCTACAATTCCTCATAGGAAGGACCAAGGAAAATAGTGGGCATTTTCTTACTAAATGCCAGTTTTCTATAGGTCAAACACAACCCACTTTTCTGAGTCCATCCTCAGCTGTCCTGTTAATAAAATAAATGTATTTACTTACGAACGCAGAACTGAGAGGTAGTGTCCCTGTAAACAGAGATGTAAGAATCTCAGCTGGGTAAACTGAAATATTTAAGGGCTGGGACCTTGAGCAACCTGGGCTAATTAAAGGTGCTCCTGCTTACGGCTAGAGGCTGGAACAAGGTGGTTTATGAAGTCCCTTGCAACCAAAACCATTCTAGGATTCTGTTTTCAAAGAATCCAGGACGTGACAAAGTGCTAAATGAAGGAAGCTGCGGTATCTTCGCTGCCAAATTCTCTTTTCTGCCTAAGCAGTGGAGCTGTGACAAACCTTCCCCACACAATTAACTGTTCATTACCCCGATGAATTGCAAGTGCTCCCAGCTTGGTGAGAGCAGTGATAAAATCTGCTGCTGCTGGAACTCTCCCTGTATTTAAGGCTGAGAAGCCGGCCCGGCAGAGAGGACCAGGACACACCATTTTGCAGGCAGAGCTGCTCAAGCCGGCGATTTCCAGGTGTGTTTGTGTGGCGTGGCCAGCGCCAGGTCCCCCCGGGCCAGGTGGGCTGAGCTGCGCGCCCGGCACTCGCCCACCTGGCCCAGCAGGCTGTAATCCAGCTCCGTCCTCAGCTCCAGCCCGCCGCTGCTGCTGAGAGGGGGCAGCCAGTGCTGGATCATCACCCTCCGTGCCTCCTCACTCGGCAGGTCCACCAGGATCCTCTTCTCCAGCCGCCGCAGCATGGCACAGTCCAGCTCCCTGCAAGCACGGCAGGAGAGGAGGCAGCGTCTCAGCGCATCTCGCTGTGGAGACGCGGCTTGGACAGCACGATCCTCCCCTCCAGCTGTGTCCTAAACTGGGACAAGAAAAAACCCAGACAAAACAAGGAAAAAAACAAACAAACAAAAAACCAACACCAAAAACCCCCCAAACCAAACCAAACCAAACAACGGGTTAATTATCCAGTGTGTTTCCTGTTCAGTGATAACGCTACTTGTGACACCGATGCTAACAGTAACAACCAGAAGTTGCAGCTTCCATTCCTCGCCCTGGTACTCATCTGCAGCATTTCTTGTCAGAAACAGCCTCTCCCTTTCCCCCTGTTAAGGAGTCACTACAAATTGCCTGTCTGGGCCACTCTCAGGACTAATTAATTGCTACTTAGTAAGGGATGCTCGGTAGGTATAAAATCCAGACTGAAGGTCTTGGATGTGAGGCTGTGTATTATGGCAGAACAGGATGCCAAACTGAGACTCCTCCTGCAATACAAATTATAAATATGTTTTTATAGTTTTATAATTTATATTTTGGTTTGTTTTGTTTTGGGTTTGTTTATTTATATTTTTATTATTATAAATTAACAGCCAGAAGGGACATTATTCTTATCAAAAATATCATGTGCAGGGTGAACAGGCTGGATAAAGTCAGTGAGCTAAAAACCCTGGTTCTGTCAATGTCAACACTGGCTATGATGTTTTGTCTAAAAAAAGGTAAGAAAAAGATCCTGTACCAATCTTTCTCTACTGGCCCCATTCAGTCACAGACTCCTTATTCCAGTTTAAAATATTATTTAGTCCTTATACCTGGCAAGAAAATCTCATCCAGGGGAAACCCACTTCAAAGTTTCTTGTGCAGGCAGAAGAACAGAAGCCCTAAGCAGAATTTCCACCTGTGCTGGCCGAGCACGAGGAACCAGCTGCAGCTGGTTTGTATCTGCAACCTGGGACTGCAGATACACTTAAATAAACCTGCCCCTATCCCCATTTCCTTGGGTGAAATGTTTTCCCCAGCAAAGTCAACATTAAAGCAACAAATAGAGTTTCTTGTATGAAACTCTATTTAGTTCCCAGGGAGTTCAAAGCCAGCTCAGGATGGATTTGTAGCCCAATGCCAGAGCTGATTTCTGTCACCTTTGGTGACTTGTCCTTATTTATTTTTTATACCAAATGCTTTCTATGGCATAGCATATGATAAAGAAACCCAAAAATGGGCTCCCAAATCCCCACACAGGTGCCTGCCAGTCCTTAGCATGCCTGGCTGTCAGCTCTG